CCCACACCCGAGACAAATGGGTAGCGACAACACCAAGCTGACCAAACTACAACCACCTGCCGAACAGTCACACACCTCTAGAGCAGGGGGAGGAAGCTCAACACACCAGGGAACCATACGACGGGCGCACCCCATAAGGCACAGAGATAGGGGGACAAGAACACACCAGCTAGACCCACGCCTATGGGAACAACCTCAGTCTCTCACCCCAGACAGGGACACCCACACCTCCCCATTAATGTAGGGAACAGGGCGTTGAGACACAAGGGACACAAGAACACACTAGATAGGCGGGCGGGTGGGAACCTGGGACGCAGGGGGACAAAGGTAAACAGCACACAAAATTGAAATGTGAAATGTTAGAATATTGTTAAGTTTTCACCTGTTGTGACCTGAAACCAAAATGTTAATAACGCTGTTAATGTTTATGTTTGTAACCCAATCACAAACCAAAAGAACACGTGCATAAACACTCATTCACGCAAGCCCCAGAACCACCACACCCCGAGGCGGGGAACCACACGCGAACTCCTACGGAGTAATCACTGAGGAGCCACATAGGGAAGCCACGAGACGAGATACACCACAAGGACACTGCGCCAGGCGACTGGACACCCAACCACCGCCCAGTAGGCGAGGCGTCACCCGAAAGGTGAGCGTTGCACGGACACCACAGGTGGTGCCGGGCTCTGTCGCTCCCCGACGCTACTACCTAGTCGCCACGCACTGTGGCGCAAACCACGGAGACCTCTGAGAACCTCTCGGACTACTCCAATACCTCAACCCCTTGATCCTTACCTAAACCCCAACACCCGATCCCCCAACCCGACACTGACAGCTGACTGAGAGACCCCTGAGACTACACACACCAAAGGCACGCAGGACAAAGTCATTTCCACAACACCCGACGACAACGACCTGACTTGGCGGGATGGCACTAACCCCAGACCACCTACACATCCTTACAATCAATGCAAAAGGTCTAAATAAACCAGAGAAGAGAACAGGAGCACTGAGAGACTTTCACAAACAGAGGGCCTCTATAGTAATGATACAGGAAACCCACTTTAAAAAAGGGAATAGACCCAAACTGACTAATCAGCACTACACACAAGGTTACTATAGCGATTTTCAAGGGGGTAAGGCCAGGGGGACAGCAATACTCCTCCACAAGAGGGTGCCGTTCCAGGAGGGGGGATGCAAAACGGATGATGAAGGAAGATACATATTCCTTAAAGGGAAGATCGCTGGACACCAGTACACATTCGCAAACATCTATGCCCCAAACACACAACACTACCGCTTCCTCAAACAGACACTTCGCAAACTTCAAGAATTCGCGGAAGGGACTTTAATACTAGGGGGCGACTTCAACATAACTCTTGACCCATCATGGGACAACTCATCGGGCACCTCCCACATCCCCACCCAACAACTCCAAACAGTTAAATCCCTACTCCGGAGTCGACGACTCGTGGACTGCTGGAGAGCCCACCACCCAGACGTAAGAAACTACACCTTTTACTCCCACCCACACATCTCTTATTCCCGGATAGACCACATCTACACCACACACTATGACCTCTCCCTAGTGTCTGAAGTAACAATAGGAGTGGCCACATGGTCAGACCACGCCCCAGTCTCACTAAAACTTAAATCACCACTTTACCGCCCCACGACCTCGAAATGGAGATTGAACGAATACCTACTCACTAAACTAGAGGTCACAACCCTAATAGGTGAGAAAATCAAGGACTACCTGACGACTAACACAGCAGAGCAAACATCCCCGACGATCACAAAAGCGTGATACGAGGCCACTACATACAACAGGGGGCAATACTGAAGAAACAGACTGAAGCCCGACTACAGGCACTGCTGACCAAGATACAGGAGACAGACAATCAAAATAAACAAACCCCGAACCACACACACCAAACCCGACTCCTACAACTGAGACGGGAACTAGCCTCACTACTGCAGGCTAAACATCACAGAGACGCAACAAGACACAAAGCCTTCTTCACAGTACACGGGAACAAAAGCGGCAAACTTCTAGCCGCGATGCTGAAAAAGCAGAGGCAACACACATATATTGATAAAATTAGAGATAAACAGGGCACCCTACACCGCCTCCCGACAGACATCATGAGAACATTCTGCACATATTACACCGATCTTTACACGCTCCCCCAACCGAAGACCAACGGGGCGACAACACACCTCAGAGACTCTATCCGGGCCTACTTGACAAAATACCAGACACCGACACTTGACGCGGAGATAGCGGAGGTCATTGACGAACCCATCACAATAGAGGAACTAGCTCTAGCGGTTAAACAAACCAAACCAGGCAAAAGCCCGGGACCCGACGGCCTACCGACCAAATATTACAAGACATACGCTACAGACCTATATCCACTCATGATAGAAGCGTTCAATTCGATACGAGACGGAAACCATTTCCCCAGACAAACACTAACAGCCCACATTACTATTATCCCCAAAGACGGCAAAGACAGAGAACAATGCGGAAACTATAGACCAATCTCACTTATAAATAGCGACATTAAACTACTGGCCAAAATCCTGGCGACCCGACTCACGCAACACATCCCATCACTGATCCACCCAGACCAGGTGGGATTCGTGACAGGCCGAGAAGCCCGAGACAACACCATCAGGGCACTCACCCTCATGCACGGGACAGGAGGCACGAAAGGGGGCCTTATCCTGCTGTCAACTGACGCAGAGAAGGCCTTCGATAGGGTCGGCTGGACATATCTATTTGAAACACTCGCCCATGCGGGACTAGGGCCACAAATGCGACGCTGGATAGAGGCATTGTACCGAGAACCCACGGCCCAGGTGCTGGTCAACGGGGCGTTAACTGATGCCTTCACAATACATAACGGCACGAGACAAGGCTGCCCCCTCTCCCCACTTCTGTTCGTCCTTGCCCTGGAACCATTCCTCACACACATCCGACACAACCCAGACATAACCGGACTGACAACAGGCAACACGCAACACAAGGTAGCTGCGTATGCAGACGACCTACTCTTCATGGTAACGAACCCTGAAATTTCCCTCCCAAACATACAGAGGGAACTACAGCTATATGGGGTAATCTCCAATTTGAAAATTAACTACGGCAAATCCTATATCCTAAACGTAAGCGTCCCTACTGCACGGGCGAACCCCCTCCGACAAAGCTTCCCCTTCCAATGGGCCGAACATAAAATTAGATATTTAGGAGTCTGGCTGACCAATCGAAGTGAGGACTTGTTCAGGGAAAATTTCACAGATACACTCCAGACGTTCCAAAAAGACATGCGAGAATGGTCGTACCCCCACATCTCATGGCTAGGGAGAGTCCAAGTAATAAAAATGAACTTCCTACCACGCCTCCTATACCTCCTCCAAGCCATCCCCATCGAGATCCCGGGCCCCTTTTTCGGTACCCTTAGAACAGAAATGACCAGATACGTATGGAACGGACGGAAACCTAGAGTGAAATTCGCTACCCTGACACGACCTAAGGATAAAGGAGGGTTAGCCCTCCCAGACCTCCACTTATACTATGTGGCCACACACCTCCAGAGAATTGTGGAGTGGTCAAAAGACGGCGTGCACAAACTCTGGAAGACGGTAGAAGAGGCGGAAGCAGGCAGACCACTCTCGGGACTACCCTGGGGGCGTGAACCGACAAAATGGGGCGAAATGTCCATATACACAAAACACACCATGAAAGTATGGAGGGGGATAGCGAGGAAGGGGACCATGTCACCATACCCCTCCCCCCTTCTTCCTCTGACGCACAACGCCGACTTCCCCCCGGGATTAGACCCAAGAGCCTTTAGAGACATCCTCCCAGACCCACACCCACGCCTACACCATGTCCTGCAGGGAGAGAAATGTAAAAAACTGACAGACATGACGACAGCGGCGCACCCGACCTTCATGCAGCACTTCAGATACACCCAGCTAACCAACTTCGTCCATACCCTACCACAGGGCTCAGCGCTCACTAGACAACACACCACACTGGAAGTGGTCTGCATGCACCCAGACCCGCTCCCACATGGAGTATCTTTCCTTTACACCATGTTACAAACGGACATCCCGACAGAGACACCCCTATTTATGAGGAAATGGGAGGATGCCCTCGGATACACGCTGACAAATAAGGAATGGGAGTCCATATGTTACCTCACACACCACTGTTCCACGCACAGCAAAACACAAGAGACAGCATACAAACTTCTGACACAATGGTACAGGACACCCCACTTCCTACACCAGATAGACCCAGGCCAACCAGGCCTATGCTGGCGATGCCAACAAGAGCAGGGCAGTATCACACACATATGGTGGGAATGCGCAAAGATCAAACCATACTGGCAAAACATCCACAAAATGCTAGAGAAATTCACGGACAAACCACCCCCCCTGGAACTAGCAGCAATGCTCCTACATCACACTCCTACCCCTCACTCCAAATACAAAAAATCTATGACTATTCGAATACTCAATGTAGCCAAACGAGTGCTCCCCCAATACTGGAAACAGGCCATAACACCTCCACTTAAGACCTGGTTTAACCAAATGGAGGAGCTGAGGACAATAGAGGAACTGACCCTGACGACTAACACCTCCCCGACAGCCTACATGGATATATGGACACATTGGATCCTAGAGACGGCGAAAGAAGGATTCCAAAGGGAACTAGAACCGCCAACCGCCACACTACAGACTGAGAGGACTTAGGGAACATACACCTGACGACAGGCGACGACTGACTACCCTCACACCCCTTCCTACCCCAACCCTAACTTTCCCTTCCCCCCTCCAGAGGAAAGCCAAGAGACCATAAACCCAATCTAAGTAGATACACAAGTCAATGAGAGGGCACACATGAGAATTGAACGTCAAACCCACAGGGAGTCGGGTCACCCCGACCAGTAAGTCGGACAAAAGGCCGACGAGCCTCTGCTTAACCCGCACACAAATTACAACTGCAATAAATGTAATGTACTGTAAAAGAGAAATGCTCGTAAAATAAGTTAAAAGGGACTTGCAAGTCCGTCAACATTGTGGGCCTGCGAGCCCGACTAAAAGTTACTGTTTTTGATATATTCCAAATGCCTTCGTATCCTTTGATAACTCACCTTGGAGACCTGCGAGTCTTCGAATCTTGACTAACCGATAAAAATAAAAATTAAATTCACAAAAAAAAAAAACATATACATATATATATATATATATATATATATATATATATATATAAATGCGGCTCTCTAATTAGGCGGTTTAGGCAGCCGCCTAAGGCCTCGCGCTGTGTGGGGCCTCGCGGCCGCCTAAACCACCATAGGGCAGACTGACAGGTCGTGTCCTTGAGGACCCAACACAGGAGGGGACCCGGCGGCTTGCCCTGTATGCCGCCGGGTGCGAGGCCCCTCCTGTCAGTCTGCCCGGGAGAGCCAGCCTTCAGTCTGCAGCTCCGCCGGGTGTGAGCTGCAGACTGAAGTGTCTTGCGATCTCCAGCCAATCAGAGCGTTGCCGCGGGTTACCACGGCAACGCTCTGACTGGAGATCGCGAGACATTCACCATGTGGTCTGCAGCTCTGCATCCGGCAGAGCTGCAGACCGGAGAGCCCACTGGACCACCAGGGAGTCTGAGTGCCACCACTGGACCACCAGGGAGTCTGAGTGCCACCACTGGACCACCAGGGAGTCTGAGTGTCACCCTGTCAGCCCCTTACTCTGCCACCCCACCGGTCACCCCCCTCACCCTGCCACCCCACCTGTCACCCTGCCACCCCATCTGTCACCCTGCCACCCCCCTCACCCTGTCACCCTGCCACCCCACCTGTCACCCATCACCCCATCTGTCACCCTGTCACCCCATCTGTCACCCCGCCACCCCACCTGTCACCCCATCCATCACC